TTTAATTAATTCTGATAATATTAATTTTATAAGTTTTGACCTAATATCTGATTAAATTTAATTCTTTAATGATAAACTGTCAAATGTTACAATAATGCTAATAATTATGACTCTGAACTTACTTAATACTTATCTCTCTCCTCAATAGGCCTCATAACATAATAATACTAATAGAAAGAAAATCGTTACAAGATTTTCCTTGTTCGAGACAATTTTAAATAAATATCTTTGTACCTTCTCTGAAGATTAACATGTATTATTAACATGTATAAGTTAATGCAAATTATGTATCTAAGTTTTCTGTATTCACGTTTCATTTTAGGTCATTGAAAAAGGATTTATGTTGTACGTATAATTCGATCAATAATTTTATATTTTACACACAATATGATACCTTTGCGCAAACTGCAAATTGTGACAAATGTGCGAGAATCCCTTCTTTCGCGAAATTTCAGGTGTTTCAGTCTATTTATATATAGGTCGGAGAATCCTTCAGACTGGTATGACAAGCATCACAGATAGAAACGTTTTTCTCGTTTACCAGCGTGCATTTTGGACACTCCTTGCCGCCGCTGGCGAGCGGCTTGTCCTCGTTTCCTTTGCATCTCGATTTGGCGCACATTTCACAGATATCTCGATCGGGCATATTTAGATATGTGCACGTAGCACAATTCCATCTCTTTTCACCTTCCGCCTCTTCCTTTTTCTGTTTATTCATTTGCGCGATATCGAGATTTTTAAAGGAATCTGCAATTTTCTTCGCTATCTGATCCGAAGATTTGTGTGTGCGTGGAATTGGTAAAGTTTGACTGTTGTGCTTTTTATCTTTATTATTTGCATCGATATTATATCTATTCGAATCTGACAAATCAAAGGACGAGGATTTCTTTTTGAAAGGTAAAATATCCTGATGATTTTTGCCGTTTGTTTCGGACGAATCGATCTCGTTCGCTTCAATCCTACTGCTGCTTCTTTTCTTTTCCGATTTATGCGCGCTATACTTGTCTTCATTCTCCGTTTGCCTAAGTGTCTTGTGCTTGATACGAATAGAATCCAGCTCCTTCTTATGCTGTAACACATCGTCTCGATCATCGAGATCTTTGTAGTAGCCTAAGCTCTCAAGATTTCTGTACACAAAATCCCACGTATCATAACCGTCTTTTCCAGCACTGGAATTCGATCTGCTAGCAATTTTTCTATCAGTTTTACCATGTTCATAATGATCCCCGTTGCTCGATTGCCGTTTATAAAAGTCTATCTCATCCAGATCTGATATCCGGTGGGACATAGGTTTACGGAGAGTGTGCGTTTTTTCATAATTTGCCACAGACACCGGTACATCGAGTTCTATCAGTCTACCGGTTGGTACTCGAGCTGCATATGCTGGTAACGTGGCGCAATATGGATTCGGTTGCATACTATTACCATAAAACTTGTTGCCATGAGAGGGCAAGCAACCGTAGCTAGTACAACAATTGATGAAACCATGATCGATTGGTTGATAATATCGATAATTAGTCGGCACCGCCATGTTTGTCGTATCTTCGATATGCCGATAATCTGTTTGACAGGTTGACGGCATTGTTGCGTTGTAATTAGCATGCACAATGTGATGATAAGGCAGATGCAATGGCACGACGTCTATACCCATTTGTTGTTGATAATAATCCTTATAGTTATCGACCTTTGTGCGGTTTTGATGCACTTTCTCGAGGAAACGATAGTTTAACGCTCGAATGGCCTGCTCTGGTGTACCAACGTGATTTTCACGAAACTCCAATACCTCCAGCCAAGAAATGGTGTATTTCTGTGACACACTTTCCCATATTTGCTTTAAAATCTACAATTTAAAAGCAACTTTATCATCTACTTTCATACTGTGCAATTTTTGCATAAAGCATTATTTTTATTGATCAATTATATTAATTATTTGTTTTTCATTACCTGACATTCTACAAAAGCTACAATAGCATCTCTACTGACGTTTGAAACCTTATCAGGATCGATTGGCCCTTCCAAAGTCAGTATACCCAAACCAGTGTGCTTATAGCCCATCTGCTCAAACATTAACTCAGCACCTATTAAATTTGCCTCTACTTCGTGTTTATAATAGCCGCTGTATGTCTGAAACAATTCAAAAATATGTACATGTTAAACTATGTAGCAAAGTACAGACTAATGACAAGATACATTTCAGTTAGTTACCCTCACTATCCTATATTCTCTTCGCCAAGGCTGAGCCAATAGATTAGCTGCGTACAAGGAAATTGCACTCCAAGCAGTTGCTGCTCTATACCCACTGAAATCTGTTACTGTTGCTGCTGATCTATGTAAAATATCTGCTGTTTCTTGAAACACGTATTTATTCTCATTGGGTACTAGACAAAGATATTCCTTTATAAAGCCTGAAATTCATTGTA